GTTATTTATTTATTTGTTATAGGGTGCCAATTTATAAATTATTATTTATTATATTCTTTTAAATGATGTGTATACACAACATATAGCCATATGAAGAGTTTGTCTACTCAAAGTTTGCTTTGCATGCTTAACCATGAGATAAACATTTTTATAATGTAACTCTTTACTAAGTACCTTTAAGTAGTAAGTACCTTTGGATGTTCATTAAGTTATTTACAGAAAAACTTTGAAATGGAATTTTATACCTTGAGATAATGCTCAGTGAATTGCTCTAATCCTCACAATTACATTTTTCTTACCAGTGGTTGTGCCAGTTAGATCACGAATTATGGTGCCAGTTAGAAACTCTTTATTCAGTATTTCGCAGTTTTCAGCAACATTTACCAGTTCTCAAATCAGACCATCAGTAACTGTGAGCTATCTCACATTGGATGTGTCTACCAACTCTACCAATGGGATTGCAACTACCTTATATTCTAAAATAGCTTGCGACTAAAGGGGACATTCATAGGTTTGTATACGATAGTGGTTAGGTATTGCTACAAAATATGTTATTGATAGAGGTAAGAAAAAAAAAAAGACAGCAGAAAATAATAGTTCTAATCAAAGAAGAAGATAAAGTAATTACTTTGTATGTGGCTCCTTTGTGTACTGTTAAATATGTTAGTAGGAGTCTTCAGGGAGCCACTGGAGATAATAAGTTAATGATCGTGAATGAATTTGTCTAATGGTCTTCACTCTTAAAGCACTTTGCAACACATGCTTCAGAGGAAGGGCACAGAACTGCGAGGAGGAATGCTGGCAGAATGAAACAAAACCATCTGCACAAGATGAAGAATTTGAGGGAACCTTATGGTTTTTCAGATAATAAATTAGGTAGTCTAGTTCGGTTCTATCAAACATCTATTTAAATAAAATCGTCATGATGAATTTTGTTATTAGCGTTAATATAGTTTTGCTTAATCAAGTGTTGGGTGCTATCAAAAATTATATTTTCCTCTTTTATAAAGTTAATAAGAGTGAAGTATTAAGATGTAAATAAAATGAGTACAATATTGTTCTAGCAGTGACTGTTATGTACAGGAATCAATACATGTATATTTACTATGGCAAATGTTGTTATGGATGAGTTCAGAGGTCAGAAAAGCTATTACAGTATCCCACTAACATCAAAAAAGGGCGATACAACCACAGACTTCTGGGTCTAAGACCTTCTGGTAAACTCAACGTAAAAATGAATTGAATATTGCTACCATAGAAAGAAAGAATTGTTAAAACAACTGCTTGACCACAAATACTGCATTAACCCTTTAGATACCATAAAGAGGAGTTAGCATCTTACAAAGTGCTGCTTTGTACATCCCCCAATCAGAAATAAAGATTGGTGAGAATGAGGCATTCAGAAAAGAACAATTAATTATTGGAGTTTACCCATGGAATGCAGACTAGATTCACACTGCTTGTATGCTTAAGAATACAATTCCCACAGTTACCTATTATATATTCTTAATTTGTGGTGTTTTTGAGTATGATACTGTGTGATATAGGATAATGTACAGTAATGTGTATGTATATAATATAATGTTTAGAAGCTATTTAAATATATTGGAATGCTCCTACATTATTTTTCAGTTGCTTAAATGATTTCTGCGTAGGTCATTAAATCATCTAACACAGTGATGTCCAAAAGGTAGATCACCAGATGTTGTAGAACTACAACTCTCTTGATATTTTACATACCTTTGGAATGCTTTTAGAATGACAAACCATCATGGAAGCTGTAGTTTTAAAACATCTAGGGATCTATCTTTTGGGCACCCCTGTTTTAACAGGCTCTAGAATGCCTCCATAAATGGCTTCACATCCAGCCTTACCACCAGCAGCTCCCATAGAATAAATCTGTCACTGGCTCCCAAGAAGCGTTGGGAGGGGAATTTTTAATACCAGTACCAATGGTTATGCTGCCATAATATTTGTTACCAACTTTTTAAAACAAATTTTGGTGGCAGTAAAATATTTAAATACTTGCAATATCTGTACTACACGGCTACCTATGTCTTACCTTCACTACTTCCTTGTCGATTTGGAATTTTCCACTTCAAGGATAAGAGAATGGCATAGGGCACAAAAGACTCTTATTTTATTGGATATATAGCTCTGAACATAGAAGATGTATATGCTATGACATCTTTAAACTGGCGCAATGCAATTTCAATTAATGTTGACTGCAGATCAGCACCATTTTAAATGCTGGTATGATTTCAGCACTAATTTACTACGATACCACCAAACAGGATGTGCACCAAACAGAAAGTACATCAAATAAACAGTGAATTTTGTTATATTGTTACTGAATGCCAAGCATGCATAGAAAGCACACAATTTATTTTTTTTAAATAATATTTTATTAGTATGGACAATATCTCCCCAGAATAATTGTCACCTACCCATAAATCCACCCCCATGAATGAGTTTAACCCCAAATCCCCATGTATACTATTGGGGCCATACAAGCTCTGTTTCTGCTGTTGGAAACAAATATGAATGTCAGTCACTGGCCAGCACCTGATTGTATTAACTTGAAATATAATATAGTAAACAAGACAGCATAAAAATCTATTACACCACTTATATTCTTATTAAAGAAAATTAAACCCAAAAAAATGAGCTACATCGTGTTTATTATTTAAAAGTATTCAGTTTCATTTTGTTTCCTTATTGTATTATTATTATTTTTTCAAGTGCTTAGATAAAAGAGCAAAATACTTCCAGATAATAAGAACATAAAAATGAATAAACTTGCAGACATTTTCATTCTAATTGAAATTAATGTAGCAAAACAATATGAAATATCCTAGCCATTCACATTTGCTCCTTCTGTCATGATGCAGTAGAGCAACCATCCACATGATCACTGGAAAATTAATTTCTTTTAGATTAGACCTCCATCTATACAGACATTTGTCAGTAATGTATATATACACACACATTTGAGGAATACTTACACATGATGTAGAATGAATGATCACTCAATGGAACTCTATCTGCTTTCAGAGACCAATTGCTTTCCTGATACCATATGCTCATTTTGTATTAAACACTTTGATTGAATGTTCTTACATTTCTTTAATTCAGATGACGAGTCTGATACCGTCAGGTATGTACTTTAGCTAGCTGATTTACAGATTTTTTTTGTCAGGTGATCAACTGTCCATTTCTAATTATACCCACCATGAGTGTCAATGTATTTTTATAGCGAAGAGGGGGCCAAGGAGACTCTAGCTTATACCTCCAGCAGGCAGCACATCCTGTCGCCTACTGGAGGTGTAAGTTGGATTCTCCTGTGCCCCCTCTTCACTATACTAGACAGCAGTGGCCCAGGGGCTTGTGGGGGAATATGTATATAATGTTGCTCGCTATGTATATGTACACAGTAGGAATATAGGTCCCGCCAGGCCCCTTACTGCTGTATTGGCTATACCACCCTGGTGGTGGCCCAGCTCTAATATTAATACTTTAATATTAGAGGTACAGCTTCAATAATTCGAAACACATGGCATGTATGTGACTGTTATATAGTGTGTTGCAGTTTTAGTAAATTGTATATCAAGTGCTAGTAGATTGTATACCAACAAATACTAAACAAATGTCAATGTAATCCAGGTACAGTGCATGTCAAGTGTATGGCAATGTAATCTAGGTGTCAATATAATTTATACCATGAAGGGCTTCCACAGACATTGTAATGCATTTCTCCTTAATAAACACTTCACTTCTGCAGTTTTATGTTAACATTTAAGGTTCAGGTTTTGGTTTAGACCTCGGTTTGGGGTTCCTTTAACCTTGAACCTTTTTTCCCAATGAAATACCTTTTTAATTGCAATTACTAAATAAAGTTTATGTGTTAAAAGCAAACATTAATTTGGACTTCATATAGTGAAGATGTTGTATTTAACCCCTTAACCCCTTAAGGACACATGACATGTATGGCATGTCATGATTCCCTTTTATTCCAGAAGTTTGGTCCTTAAGGGGTTAAAGGACCACTATAGTGCCAGGAAAACATACTCGTTTTCCTGGCACTATAGTGCCCTGAGGGTGCCCCCACCCTCAGGGTCCCCCTCCCGCCCGGCTCTGAAAGGGGGAAAGGGGTAAAAACTTACCTTTCTCCAGCGCTGGGCGGAAAGCTCTCCTCCTCCGATCCTCCTCTTCTCCTCCCATGCGGCTGAATGCGCACGCGCGGCAAGAGCTGCGCGCGCATTCAGCCAGTCACATAGAAAATCATTGGCTGATTTTCACAGTGAGAAGCACGCAAGCGCCTCTAGCGGCTGTCAGTGAGACAGCCACTAGAGGAATTGGGGGAAGGCTTAACCCATTCATAAACATAGCAGTTTCTCTGAAACTGCTATGTTTATAAAAGAATGGGTTAAGCCTAGCTGGACCTGGCACCCAGACCACTTCATTAAGCTGAAGTGGTCTGGGTGCCTAGAGTGGTCCTTTAAGGACTGAGCCAATTGTACAAGTTGTGAGCAAATCAAAATGTAAACAAAACCTTGAATTTGACCAAATGTCTGTTCAACCGTAATTCATCTCTTTCATATTAAATGCACCCACACTTATTATATATAATTTTGTTCAGAGGAAACAGGGCTTTCATGTCACATCAAATATATGTATATTAAAAATAATTTAATATGAATAAAATATAAAAAATGTGAGGAAATAAGAAATTTTTATTTTTTTAGTTCTGCATGGCATTTTAAATGTGAATGTCACAATACTGTTAGCTGTTACTGCAATAAAGTACACATATTTGTATTCAGCGATGTCTCACGGTTAAAACCGTACATCAATGTACAGGTTTTATGATGTTTTGGAAAGTTACAGGGTCAAATATAGCACATCATTTTTCAGTTTATACACATTGAAATTTGCCAGACTGGTTATGTTGCCTTTAAGACCAAATGGTAGCCCAGGAATGAAAATTACCCCCATGATGGCATACCATTTGCAAAAGTAGACAACCCAAGGTAATAGAAATCGGGTATGTCCAATCTTTTTAGTAGCCACTTAGTCACAAACACTAGTCAAATTTAGCGTTCATATTTGTCTGTGTGTGAAAAATGCAAAAAACGAAATTGAACGCTAATTTTGGCCAGTGTTTGTGACTAAGTGGCTACTAAAATAGCCTGGACATACCCCATTTGCAATACCTTGGGTTACCTACTTTTGCAAATGGTATGCCATCATGGGGGTAATTCTCATTCCTGGGCTACCATACGGTCTCAAAAGCAACATAACCAATCGGGCAAATTTCAATGTGGAAAAAAGGAAACTCAAGCCTTATATTTGACTCAGTAACTTTTGAAAACACCATAAAACCTGTACATGGGGGTACTGTTATACTTGGGAGACTTTGCCAAACACAAATATTAGTGTTTCAAAATAGAAAAACGTATCACAACAATTATATCGTCAGTAGAAGTACCGTTTGTGTGTGAAAAATGCAAAAAAAACGCATTTTTACTGACGATGTTATCATTGTGATATGTTCTACTATTTTTAAACACTAATATTTATTTTCTGCGAAGTCTCTCAAGTAAAACAGTACCCCCCATGTACAGCTCTTATGGTGTCCTAGAAAGTTACAAGGTAAAATATTTGGTTTGCGAGCCAAATTCTCTGGACTTTCAGCCTGGGTTGTCAGGCAGGTCTCTCAAATTGTAATTAATAAAATGACTTGATTATGTAAAAATATTATATAAATATATTTGTAGAATTTAAATATATATGTATATATATATATATATATATATATGTATAAACATGGCTCGCCCATTCCAAGAGGTCAGAAAAACCTGCCACATACGTAAATCAGAGGTTGCGTGATTATCTAAAGTGATACGTGAAGTGTCTGAGGTGAATTGTGGAAATAAAGATAGTAAATGAGAGATAAAGGATCTACCCTGTGGTATGATCCTCATGGCAAAATTGAGCGACCCCCAGCAGCGATTGAAGTTCCTTCCAGTTGCAATAACCTTGTAGTAGATAGTGTTCAATGCTTGCCAGGGTGCGCTCAATCTTATCCTGTGGGAGGCTAGCTTGCATATGGATAGAGTCCAATTGGATCCCCAGAAATTGCATGCTAGTGTCTGGGCCTAAGGTTTTGTGAGGAGAGACTGGGATAGTGAGGGATTCAAAAAGAGCCAACATGTGTGTAAGGCTACTTGGAGGGAGTGTGTTGTTTTCAATCATGAGGAAATCGTCTAGGTAGTGAATAACCGATGGACATCTACACACATTAAGTAACAACCAGCACAAAGATTCCGCAAACGTGTCAACTAACTGTGGATCATCTAACGTGGGTTGTAAATTGTCACATTCTAGTGTACCAGTTGGCAAGTGTACCAACCCGGTGTGAAACCCTTCAGATAGTCCAGTGATAATGTAGTCAACGAAATAGTGTGATGGGTGTTGTCGTAACAGTGTAGCCAATAACGTGATGTTCACGCACGTGTGATACGGTTTAGGGAAAGCTTTATTTGGGCACATTGTCTTAGAATGAGCCCTGAAACAGTGGGAACGCACATGCATTAGCCTACAGGAGCTAAAACCACAATTCCCCGCATTAAAATTATTACAAATCTGTGATTTGCCTAGGAACACGATGTCCCTACCCAGTTTGTCCTCTAAGCTTCTGGTAGGTCTTTGGAAATTAGGGATAGATTGGCCCTGTTCCGTTTAAGCCGTATTAGGGCAGAAATTGGTGCTATGTGCTGTAGATGCACATGATGCACAAGCTGGGGGTCTGAGGCCTGCAAAGTGTCTGCAGAATAACTCAGTTTCCAATTTGCTCCAATTTACACTGAAATTGAACTGAGTCAGAGCTGCAGCCACTTTTGCAGAGAAGAAACGGTGGTAATCATAAAAAGCAGTACCACTGTATTTGTGCCCCAGATCCACCATCTTGTGCATATATACGTCTAACTCTTCTCTTTTTTCGTGATATACTGAGCCATAGACGTCCCTATAGATGCCAAAACCCAGTACAAATTCCGGGATGGACAGTTTGCCCTTAGAACCACAGGAATATCCCGGTATGCAAATGTCCTATTCTCCAGAACATCCTGGGAGGCAATAAGCAGTGAGACCAGGTTGATGTCCTTGCCTTCCAGAATGTTTTTTTTAAGGGGAGATGGGACGGCAACTGAGATCCACTAGGACTTTCCCCTAGCATTGGAGTTATCGGTAGTGGTGTTTAAGAGTCTAAACAATTCTGCTTTCCTAGCGGAAGCTGGGAAAGTGATGCAACGTCTTCTTAATTCTGCTGTGAGACGTGGGATGGTCCATGATCTCAGGGAAGACGGACTATTAACATAATTTCCAGGGCCAGGGGTACCAGGCCTAGCGTGCATGCTGGATAGTGACAGTTCTTCAGGGATATCAGGATTTTGCAACATAACTGAAAAATATTAAGTAACAATCATTATCCTATGATGAAGTGGACGGGTACTGGCGAGGTTAGCTAGATACCAAGCGGCGAAACAATTATGCTTTGTGAAGTGACAGATGAGTCCCTGCTAATTGCCAAGTGGCATGAGAGGCACTACCTATGCATTGGCCCGAGGGGAAAGTATGAGGCCACCGAAATGTTGTGGCGGGATGTTGGCCTCTCGTGACAAATTAAAGCATAAGATAGAATGGGAGTGACATGGGAGGCCCGCTCTATGCGACCATGTGAGGCGGCTAACTATGATTTGGCCTGAGGGGCGTATACCTCCGAGTATGAGGATGGGTGTTGGCCTCGCGGGACCACTAGCCTAATGATTAAGACCGGAAGGTATCTCCTACTTGGCTGTCTACCACCCTGAAAGCCAGTAACCACTCTAAACTACAGGCTAAAGGTACTGGTTCTAGTGACGTACCTGATAAGTTGAGTCAGGACGTGGAGTAATGTGGAGTGGATGAATTAGCCGGTTGTCAGTAGATACGTGCTGCGACCTATAGATATGAACATGATATGAGTATCTGTAAGTATAGGGTTTAGCTGGCCAGATCATGGGCCTGAAAAGTATAAGGCACCTACCAAAACCTATGAAGAGTCTAGTAAAATGAAAAAGATGATGACGGTATGTTGTGCTTTAAAAAGCAACCGTCTGGAAGTTCCAGTACCTAAGGAAAGTAACATGTTAAATACATAATAAGTGTCAACATATATCCCAGCCAATAACATAGAAAACTGTCAATTAAATCTCCAACCAACCTAAAAGAAATTAGTATTCTTGACACAGTTGTCAGAAATTCAAATGTTGTTATGCTCCGTATATAAGTAAATATTAGAAACGAAACCTGTGGGAAATAACATCAGAACAAGTATCAAACTAAAAAATCAAGTCTATCATACCTGTAATTCTTAATTCAAGACCATAACTTAATGCTGTAATATCCTATATTACCCATAGGGGCGTTATTCGTATGAAAATGCCAATCGTTGATTTACACAAGGATATAACTGCCGAACAATAACAAGCAATATATGTAGACACTGATCGTTTGACTGTTTTCCCCTATGTGCCGTTCGTTTAATTTTGGTCTGTACAACAACCGAAGGCAGTAGCTGGAATATATTGAAAACGAATGGTGGAATTCATGTAATGTGAGAAACGAACACGTGTGTGTGCTAGTGTGTTTTTAATGAATGATTGTGCTGAACGGCGTGCATGAAAAACAGTCAGCGTAGTTAGCCGAAAGCCGAAATGAAATGAACAGGGACCCCTGCCGTGAAAGCGAGTAGTGTATTGCGGCCGTTTTCTTACGGCAGGGGTTTAGACTTACGGTTTTGACCTATTGGCCAGGCTGAGACCGGGGTAGCTCGGACACCGGCGGGAGGATGTGTAGCGATGGGCTTGCAGCTCAAGAACCAGGAGTCCACGAGGGAGTACAGGTACAAGAAAATGGCGGACTGAACCAGAAGTAATCCTCACAGGCTTGCCAGACCATCAACGGTAAGGTGAGGAATCCAAGCCCCTCCCACAACTACAGGCCAAGGCCTTAACATATATAGATAGATTTTTTTAAAAATGCAATAATCCCCTGCACTCACGCTCAAAAAGTGACAATACCGGGCACATCACCAAGGCTCCAATAGACAGAAATCCACCAAGGAAGGCTGCTCTCTGGGTTTAAAAGAAAAAGTTATTGATACGATTTAAAAATAATGACCAACGTTTCTGTCCCCGCTCAGGACCTTCTTCAGGGTCAAAAATACAACAGGACACTCAGACAATGTACACAAAGTGACAGTATATACCATAATAATTAATAGAGAAACTCACTCAAGTGTTGCGCTGTCTCATCCCGCCAACGCCAAGTGAATTTCCGGGTGTGCGTGCGCATTGCTATGCGTGCTCCACCCCCCGTCAGGTCATTGTGCGTGTTGGCGTACAGGGCAGACGGAAGACCGATCACCAAGGCAACCTCATATACAAACTCACCTCTCGTGAATAAAGAGTTGTGAGCTAAAAAAGAAATAAAGTGTCAAAAGTGCAAAGGACATTGAGAGGTTATAAATTCTGTGTATAACCTGAACAAGTCAAAATATAAAAAATAGTACTGTGAACAACTATAGACAAGGTCATGTAATAATATAGGTGTTGGACTTAAAGCTCAACTTTAGTGATTCTGATCCCAAAGACCAGATATTGAAATATAGTGCACATATATATTTAATAAAGTGCATATTTGGGAATAGAAAGTGCAAACTATCCTAAAGTGATAGTGTGCAAAGAGTATAAAGTGCAAGATACCATAAAGTGATAACGTGTCAAAGATGTAAAGTGCATACTCGTTTATGGACTATACACATAATACATTTAAACAATATATGCATAACATATACCCCTATTTCTATTTCACTAAAAAGTATATTTACATATTAAATTAAAAACATAATGACTAGCTATAGCTAATAACCTCTATATAAAGGAGTGATACGTGACATTCTCATTTAACCCCCTGGGAGACACTGTATTCAATTGATGTATCCAAAAAGCCTCCCTTTGGAGCAACATTCTTCCTCTATCACCCCCTCCACGGGGGGGGGGAGGAATGTGATCTATACCCACAAACTTTAAGGATGCCAGCGGATGTTTCTTATCAAGAAAATGCTGGGCAACTGGCTTGTCTGACAGTCCATCCCTGTACGCTAATCTAATTCTTGAACGATGGCCCCTAATTCTTTCGC